TCCGGAACGCCGCCGATGCGGCGTATGCCCCTTCCCGCTCGCTCTTCTCCACTCCCGAGGTCTTGCAACTGACCCTGTATGTGCGACACAATCCTCTCGTGCGAAGTGGTGCTGGTGGGGAGCTTCTCCCCCGTCGCCTCGTCTGCGTCGAGGAGGAGGCCATCCAACTTCCCGCCCCCTCCCCTCCCGCACATTTTTTTTTCTAAATCAGTCTTGCAAATTAACGCGTACGTACGGGGTTCGCTCCGACCGTCTACCGAAAAATAGCCTCGCTGCCGACCTTCTACCATCATGGCTAGTGCCATTTCACTCTGGCACAGCTCGCGTTACAAAACCTTGATTTGACCATTTGCCGCATTTTGTTGCTCTTCGTGACCTTCAGCGGCAGCTGTCACCACGCCAAGTGGACGGCGGCACTCAACAGGCGGCGCGCAGCCTGTCCGTGCACTCTCCGGGGTCGCAGCTGCCTCTGTGCGTCCTGGGGAGGGACAAAATTGTCGCCGCCGGAGACGACTCGACGCCGCTGAGATCGGAGATCAAGCTCTGACAGGTCGCACGTCGCTCCTTTGACGCCGACGTGACTCACCCGTGCAGATCACATCAGGACACGGTCTCGACGCGCTCGGTACGACGCCTGCGACCCGTCTCGGGTCAGGTGGCACGACGCTCATCGCGCCTACCAGCGCTGCCGTACAGGTTGCCACGACGAGGTCGAGCACGCTTCTATACGCTCGCCGAGCCTTCCTTTCCATCCAATTAGGCAGCCTGGGAACGGTGGCGGTCAGAGGCAAAGCCTACGAGGGGTGGTGGAACCACATGTCACGGCTACTGCCGGCTCGACCCCACGATAGCCTCCGAAGGCTGACTTTGCGGCACCATCATCGGACGATGTCGACGAGTTGGGTCGCTCTAGCGGTAGCCAGATGACCTCTCTTTCTATAGGAGCATCGGCCATGGCCGCAGGGAGCGCGGGGGAGGGCGCTGGAAGCAACACGGAGCTCCGTTGGAGACGTTTTCAAGATTAGCGTGTCAGAGTGAAATGGCACTAGCCTATACGTATTGTGTATTGATAGTTGTATTAATACGTATTATGTATTGTGCAACCCTGTCTTAATGCCCGCAACCGAGACTGTACAAACCGCAAACACACGAAACGCATTTTGTTGTGGCGCGGGCATGGCATGGGCAGTAGCAGCGGCGGCGCCCCCTCGCGCGAGATCTCTATTCTTGCATGGTGGCCAAGAAGATGGACTCGTACAGCTCCACCTTTGCAGAGCGCTGTTGCGGCTCGGGCTCGTCCGCCACGAGCGCCGCCAGCTCCTCGAGGGAGGTCCTGCCGCCCACAATTTGCCTGCCGAGCGCGGTGCGCTCGTAGCCGGCGTAGCGCTCGTCGACCAGCGCGCCCATCGTGCCTTCGGCCTGCATGCGCGCGGCGTTGCGCAGCCCTCGCGCATACGTATCCATGCCGTTGATGTGGCCGATGAAGAGGTCCTCCACATCGGTCGACTCGCGGCGCACCTTTGCGTCGAAGTTGAGCCCGCCGGGCGCGAGCCCGCCCTGCTTGAGTACGACGTCCATGATGTACGTGGCGAGGCCGACGTCGTTCGGGAACATGTCCGTGTCCCAGCCGAGCATGGCCTATTCACGGCTTTGCTCTCGTTCGTTCGCCGCTGTTTTGTCTCTGAGGTGCCGCACCCCGCCGAGCACGGCCTCGTTCCGGTTGGCGTCGATGGAGCCCAGCTTGCCAAAGGCGGCCGCCATGGCCGTCTCGTGCTCGCCCGTGTGCCCCGCGAGCGTGCCGTGGTTCGCCTCGAGGTTGAGCGCAAACTCGTCCTGCAGCCCGTACTGCCGCAGGAAGCCGAGGACCGTGGCCGCGTCGTAGTCGTACTGATGCGCCATTGGCTCGCGCGGCTTGGGCTCGAGCAGCAGCGGGCCGCGGAAGCCGACCTTGTGCTTGTGCTCGGCCACCATCGAGAGGAAGCGGGCGAGGTTGTCGAGCTCGAGCCGCACGTTCGTGTTGAGGATCGACTGGTAGCCCTCGCGGCCGCCCCAGAGCACGTAGTTCTCCCCGCCCAGCCGGTGCGTCACCTCAAGGCACTTCTTGACCGAGGCCGCAGCACGCGCGAACACCGCCTTTGGCGGGGCGCGGGCGCTGCGGTGGGCGCTGCGGTGGGCGCACGCGTGGCGAGGGCGTGCGCCGGTGGCGCGTACCGGGTCCGGATTCGTGGCGGCGCCATTCATGTACCGGCGCGGCGTGAAGAGGTTTGCGGTCCCCCAAAGCAGCTTGAGGCCGCTCGCCGCCTGGACCTCGCCCAGCCGTTCCGCGATGATGTCAAAGTTTGCGTCGGACTCGGCCTGCGTTGCGCCCTCGGGCCGGACGTCAGAGCGATGGCTTCAGATTGCTCAATCAAGACCAGCCCCCCCCCCCCCCCCCTTCACGCAATTTGCTTCCCGTTTCTAACTCGTACTCTCTGCAGCTCTGCACGCTTCCCTCCGTTTTTAACTTGTATGTCTTTCCCGCAATTTAACTCACGTCCTTTTTCTTTCCTTTTTCCACTACATGTACATGTCTCGAGGTTTCTAAAAAGTGGGAGGTGTTATGAGGTTTTGGCCGAGTCATAACAGCGCTGTTATGAGGTTGTTATGCTGGCTGTCATAACAACCAGTGGGAGGTGTTATGAGTGCTATGAGGTGTTATGAGGTGTTATGAGGTGTTATGGTAGGGTGGGCATAACAGCCATGACAGCGATGGAGGTGTTATGAGGTGTTATGAGGTGTTATGGGGTGTTATGAGCAGCCAGCCATAACAGCCATAACACCTGTTATGGCCGCTCCCATAACCTTGAGTGGGGACAAGAGATCCGCTCTCGGTCGGCAACGTGGCAGCTAGTCGCGGGACTCGGTAGTTGTGACCCCCCTGAGTGAGTGAGTGAGGACAGGAGAGAGAGAGCTTTTGTGGTGGTGTGCATGTGCATGCACATGCACATGCACATGCACATGCACATGTGCATGCTGCATGGACATGTACATGTGCATGTGTGTACGCAAGAACGGGACAGGGTAGTCGTTCTCTCTAGCTCCCCTTCTGGCTCTTAGGACTTAGCATGAGCTGCGCCCTGTGTCCGACCCCTTTTGCGCAGCAACACCTTAAATTTGTTAAATTTCATGGGACATAACACAAACACTAAAAATCTCTCTCTCTTGGGACATGGCCCTCCAAATTCGGGTCGGAGCGTAGCGGAGTGGGCCCCGAGTTTGAAAAGGGCGACGGACGCTTGCGTCCTAGCCTCCAACAACGCCTCCCCGGCGCAGAGGGGCCCCCGGAGGATGCTCAACCGCTCACGCCACGCCGCTTGCGGCGGTCCTTCTATTCCCAGCTCCGCCTGAGGCAGCCGTTTGCTTCTCAAATACAGCCCCTGTCCCCCCCCAACCCGCCGGCTGTTTCGCGCCTCGCGCTCGATGATGTCTGCCGCCTGCATGACCTGCTCCTCGGAGATGACGAGCGGCGGCGCGAGCCGGATGATGTCGCCGTGCGTCGGCTTCGCGAGCAGGCCTGCGCCCATCAGCGCGTGGCAGAGCGCGCCCGCGTCGTTTGCGCCGTCGGGGCGCACGACGACCGCGTTGAGCAGCCCACACACACACACACACACCCGCGCCGCGCGCCTGCAGGCGAGGCGGGTGGGGCAGGGGTGAGGGGGGAGGGAGGGCCGTCCAGCCTCGCCGCCGCCGCGAGGGTGAGCCCGCGTGGTTCCTGCGTGCGATCCCGCGTGTGTGTGCGTGTGTGTACGTGTACGTGTGTATGGGCGCCTTCGACGGCTACATCGGCGCCAGCGTCGCGGTGCTGATGTTTGGCACAAACTACATTCCGGTGCGGAGGACGGAGATCCACGACGGCTCGCACTTCCAGTGGATGATGGCCAACGGCATCCTTGCTGTCGGCACCGCGGCGCAGCTGGCTTACGGCGGCGGCGTGCTCACGCTCGGCCTCGTCGGAGGCGCGCTCTGGTCTATTTCAAACTATTTCGTACTGCCCGTCGTCAAGCTGCTCGGGCTCGGCGTCGGCTTCTCTCTCTACCACGTCGTCAACCTTGTCGTCGGGTATGCGGTGGGTCGGTACGGGCTCTTTGGCACGCCCGTGTCCCACCTGGCATCGCCCGAGCTTAGCGACGCCTCTATCGGCATCCTCGTCCTCTCCTTCGCCTTCATGATTGCGGTCGAGCCAAGCATGGAGGACGGCGAGCCAGACTCTGCGGTCGAGCCAAGCATGGAGGACGGCGAGCCAGACTCGTGGGAGGGCGAGCAGCGCTGGCCAGCGGTGGCGCCGAGTTCGCGCGGCACAGACCTCGCCGTCGAGGAGTCGTCCCCATACACGCGGCTGGGAGGCCTCACGACGACGGGCGGCGCGCGCCTGCCGCAGACTCCCACGCCCGCGGCCATCGACATGACGCGGGCCGACTCGTGGCAGCGAGCACCCGAGGCCGTGCGAGACCTGGCGCGGCGAAACGAGGACACCGAGACGATCCAGCGCGAGCGCACGGCGAGCACTCACATGGCGTCGCGGGAGATGCAGCTCCTCTACCCCGAGATCGGGACGGCGTCGGCGCTCGCGCAGCCGGGCGGCTTTCGGCGCGCGCACCTCGCCGAGAGGCAGGCCGCCGTCGCGGGCGTCGGGGCGGTGGCTTACGCGGAGACGAGGCTGGAGAGCAAGCAGCCCGCGGCCCCGCTCCACGTGAGCGGGATGCTCAAGGACGCCTTCTCGCCCGCCACACCGGGTGAGCACTGGGTCGGGCCGTACAGCGGCGCAGAGGCCAAGCGCGAGCCCTGGTCGCCTGCGACAACGCCCCGGGCGCTGCAACCGACGGCGCAAGCGTCGGCGGCGAAGCTGGCGGCGGCGACGAAGCCGACGGGCGGCAAGCTGCTGGGCGTGCTTCTCGCCATCGTGGCCGGCGCCCTGTGCGGCGTCAACGCCGTGCCCTTTGACCTCTGGAACGCCCAGCGCGGCCCAGACACGCGGCCGATGGCGTTCCTCTTCTCGCAGACGCTCGGCACCTGGGCCACCGCCTCGGTCATCTACCACCTCGTCGGCGCCTGGGCCATCTGCACCGGCACGTCGGTCCCAAACGCCGCGATCCGCCCCGCGTACCTCTCGGGCATGATGTGGGCCGTCGGCGAGTCGGCGCAGTTCGTCTCGCTCGACGCGCTCGGCATGTCGCAGGGGTACGTCTTTGGCGCGATCGGGCCGGTCATGCTTTCGTCGGTGATCTCGTGCGTCTGCTTCAACGAGATCCGCGGGCGGAGGAACTTGCTCGGCTTCGGGCTCGCCCTCGCCCTCCAGGTGGCGGGCGTGGTGATGCTCGCCGTCGGGAGCGGCGCCAGTGCGGGGGGCGAGGCCGAGGTGGGGAGCGGGATGGAGGAGTGAGCCGGGCGGAGGCGACCCGCGAGCAGGGGACGACCGTAGGTAGGCGCGTGTGTAGCACGTCTAGGGCCAGGACGATGCGCGTCGACCCTTCGCCGGGTTGGTGGTGTGCCTTTTGCGTGTTCCAGATCGTCAGCGTAGCGACGCTCTAGCCCGTACTAGCGCGGCGTTTTGTGGACTATGAGTTGTTGGCTGGGGCGTGTGTTGTGTGTGGTTTTGGGCTAGGTTAGCGGTAGGCGCAGGAGACAGGGGGCGTCAGAGGCATGTGTGTCAGTGACTCTTCTAGAGTCAGGTTTTTTTAGGCGCATGAAACCATGGAACAGCTGCATGATCGATCTTCGATGATTTATGTATGTAAAAGAGGGGACGGCTCGATTGGACGGAGGGTGGACGCGTCCAGGGGGGGGGGGTCGGGGGGGGTATCCCTTCGACCAAAAGCGTGACAGCTGCGGAGGGGCTGGAGAGCGAGTCGTAACACATCGGAGCTCATCGGAACGCCCCTGCTACGGTAGGTGCTAGCGACGCCTGGGCGGCGATGATGCCGCAGGCGGCGACCGCGGAGCACCGCGGCGACGGCGTCGACCGGCGGAACGCCCACCACGAGCGATTGGCCCGCGAGAGGAGCGAGCGCGAGGCGGGAATGAGGGCGTTCGAGCCGCCGCCGGACGAGGCGGGGGCGGTGGAGCACGTAAGCGCGTCCGTCGTGCTCGCGGCGGTGGAGGAGAGCGGGCCCAACTACCTGCTGCCGAAGGCGCCGGAGCCGGTGAAGTCGCGCCGGAAGCGGCTCAGGGTGGACGCAACAGCAAGGCAGGCAGGTCAGGCGATCCTCGAGACGGGCACGCGAGTCGAGATCTTCGCGGGGGAGGAGAGAGGAGAGGTGGTGGCCGGCGACATCATGGAGCGGACGGTAATTTCTCAGTGGGGTTTTGACATAGTGCGCGAGAGAAAAGAATATTGTATATTGATTTAGAAAAAATGTGGCACGTGGCAGGAGTGAGGAGATGGTTTGGTCTTTGCACTTTTTGAGTGTGGATAAGTCAGAAGAGGGGCCGAGCCCCCCGCAGGCGGCGCGGCGGCGTGCGCGTGCCCCGTGGCCGTGCGCGCCCGCGGCGTGCCCGTGCGTGCGCGGCGCCGCCCTTCACAGCTGGACTGAAGACTACGTCAGCGCCGACGCCGCGTAGACAAGACGATCGGGCATTCGTGTAATCATCGCTGCGCTTCTTGCCACTCCCGGATCATCCGGCGAAGTGAGTGGTTGGGGGTGAGGAAGAGGTGCTCGAGCTCGCCGCCCGTCAGCGGGCTCGTCGACTTGGTCGTGAGCCAGCGCTCAATCTGCCGCCGCTCATACGAATGCCCGTCGGCCGCCATCACCGGTTCGGCCATCACCTCCGTCGTGATGGGGCAGATGAAGTCGGCTGGCGGCTCCTCCTCCTTCAGAGCTGGCGCCACCTCGGCCGATGAAGATGGCGCCCCTTGCTCTTTCGGCGCGCCCTTCGCCTGATTGTCCAGTCTCATACTGTCCTCCAGCGCCGCCGCCAGCTCCACCGCCTCCTCTTCCGCCACCTCGGGCTCCTGCGACGGCGCGGCCGCGCCACCCCTGCCACCCTTTCCCTTCTTCTTCCTGTTCTTCTTGGCCTTCTTGCTCTCCTTGTTGCGCTCCGCCTCCTCCGCCCCCTCCTCTGCTAGCAGCGCGTCTGCGTGCCGTGCCGCCTCCGCCTCCGCGTGCTCATCGAAAGCGAGCACACACTCGGCTTGACCACACTCCTTGGCCCATTGCAGCGCAGTCCTGCCATCGTTGTCGGCCACCGCCGTGTCTGCGCCAGCTAGCAGCAAGAGGCGCACAATCGTGGCCCCGGACTGATGTTTGTACGTAGAGGCGGCGATCAGTGCGGTGCTGCCATAGCTGTTTTGATGGTCGAGCTCCGCGCCGCGCCGAATCAAGAGGTCGACCAACCGGTCGTGGCCGTACGTAGCGGCTGCTATGAGTAACGTGCTGCTGTTCCAACGCAGGAGCGGCGCGTTGATCCGCCCACCAGCATCGATCCACGCCTGCACCGCTGCTTCATCGCCGTGAAAGGCGGCGTCCAGGACCTCGTCCGGAAGCAGGTCGCTCGAGCAAGACTCGTGAAGCGGGGGTGCATTCGCGACACCTCCGCCCGTCGGAACAGCGATATGGAACGGCATGTTGGGGCCAGCACCCTCTGGGATCACGACCATGTAATCAGGTCCGAACGGTGTCCGAACCACCACCTTATCGCCAGGGTGATGATTTGGTGGCACATCGACAAGCATTACATGGTGACCAGCCGGCACCGCCGGGTGCGGCTGCCCATCGCCGTCACCACCTCCTATCGCCGCGGCCACGCCTGAGGTAGTGCCGCCCGAGCGCGGCAAGATGGTCTGAAATTGTGAGACGGGGCCGACGCCCTGCGGGATCACCGCCATGTAATCCTGCCCCGTCGGTGTTCTTACAACCATCGGGTCGCCTGGGCGCATGCCTGGCGGCACGTTGACGAGCATCAGCTGCATACCAGCCGCGCTCATCGCCGCCTCCTGCTGATCCGCTGTCACCGTGATGAGGTGGTCCCGAAAGACCTCGACGCACTCAGTGTGGTACTCAGTGGTACGCCTCTCCATGGCGTACTGCAGCGCAGTCTTGCCCTCCGCACACCGCAGATTTAAGTTTGCCCCCGCCCGTAGCAGGCGAGACGCAACCAAGTGCTGGTTGCCGAGGGCGGCGGCCATCAGAGCGGTGGTTTGACCCCTGTTCTCCTGCCGGTCCATATCGGCGCCGCATTCCAGCAGTGTGGCGACGAGCTGCTCGTGGCCACCACCGGCGGCGGCTGTCAGCAGCGTGACGCCGTCATGGCATGAGTCAATCTGTCCGCCGCTGTCAAGCCAAGCCCGCACGGCCGCCTCGTCACCCTGCCCAGCGGCCGCCAACGCCGCCTCGAGCCCTCGCATGCAGAGTGTGCGCGCCCCGCGCCGCGCCTCGCCGCTACGTTGGCTGCGTCGCGCACTCACAATGCCGCGCGGCGCGAATACAGTTCTGGGCGTACGCGCAACACGCAAAAGCATGAGGATCTCAAAGCGAACCAGTTTAGACCATGTTTAGACCCAGTTTAGACCACGGCTGAACACGAACCAGATTAGTCCTGTTTACGATAAACTGGGTCTAAACAGGGCTCGGCCTGGGTGGGGGACCCCATTAGCCATACCAGGTTTAGACCCGGTTTAGGGCGCCCCTAGCTAGCTCCGCCGCCGCGGCCGCGCTGTGGCTGCGGAAGCGGCAGCGTGCAGCCGCCATCCTCTGCCTCGGGCCGGACAGCACACCTGGCACACTTGCACCGGCGCGCAACAACAGCCTCGCCGATCAGGCGCACGGTCGGTGTTAGGGCGCGACGTCGGGCGCGGCGACAGACAGACCAGCTGGCGGCGCCTGCGCCTGGCAAGAAGCGGCAGCGCGTTGATTTCAACGGCCGCAAAGGTGCTAGTAGAAGTGGTGTTGGGTTGAGCAGTGGTACTCCCTGCCCCTCACCAGATGCTTGCAGGCGATGTTCCTGGCCTCGCTCCCGACGTACCGCGCGAAAGATGAGGGGACGCGCTGCGGCTTCTGCAAGCAGATCTTCGACACGGCGAAGCTGTCGGAAGAGTCCTCGACGCGGCCGCGTGGACCCTCAAGATTGCCATGCACAACCTCGACCAGCGCGAGAAGAAGCAAGGCCGCTGACGCTTGCGCGTGCCGCTGAGAGCCGCGTCTCTCTCAGAGCAGGGGAGCTAGGCGGGGGGGAGGGAGGTGCGCGCTACGCGGGGGGGAGAAGGGGAGGAACCCATTAGCCATACCAGGTTTAGACCCAGTTTATCGTAAACAGGACTAATCTGGTTCGTGTTTAGCAGTGGTCTAAACTGGTCTAAACTCGTTCGCTTGGAACCCTCCTAAAAGCGAAATGACGTCGCGAAGTTTAAGGTGTTTCCAAAAGGGGGAGCCGTTGCGGCGCCGCACGGTTGGGGAGGTTGCACACTCGCGTGGGACGACGGACGAGATTGGGGCGCAATTGAAGGCGCTGGCCCCGAAGCGCAATCAACTTGGGTCGGTGCGTTCCTCACACAAAAACACAACCCCGGACCCAAGACGCACAAGCTCAGACAGTCGAGAAAGGGATGTGTTCCTCACCCCTTTTAGATTAGATTAGGTAGGCAGGTGAAGAACAGCCAGGCTCGGACTGGACACCAACGCGACAACAAACACTCTCTCTCCCCAACGCGGCCTTCGAAGGGTTATTTCCCGCTCGTCCCGGCTGGCAGTTTGCGGCACACCTTCGGTACAGGGCCTCTCCGATCGCCCTCCGTTGCGCCCTCCCTCCCCGCCCGACGCTCCCCCCCCCCCGCCACACGTCTCGCTCCGCCTCTCGGCAGGTTCCGTGCTCGCGGCGACAGGCTCCGCTCGGGACAGACGCGATGGCGCAGCAACAGCTCGTGCAGCAGCCGCCGACACAGGCTGGCGGCGATGCGCTGATGGGCGACGGCCAGACGCAGGCGCCCGGCGCGTGGCAGCAGCTTGAGCAGCTCGAGGGCTCTGGCATCAACGCCGCCGATCTCAAGAAGCTCAAGGAGAAGGGCTTCCACACCGTCGAGGCGGTCGCGCACGCGACGCGCAAGGAGCTCGGCGAGATCAAGGGGATATCGGACCAGAAGGTGGACAAGCTGCTGGCGGCCGCGCACAAGATGGTCGACATGGGCTTCTCCTCCGCAACAGAAATCTACCAGCAGCGTCAGGAGACCCTCCACCTCACGACCGGCTCCAAGGCGCGCCGCCCCCGCTGCTCGCCATCGCCGCCCGCCCCGCCGCCCTCCGCCCTCCCTCGCCGTCGACTCGTCGCGTCATCACCCGTCGCCTCGCAGGACCTCGACGACCTGCTGCGCGGCGGCATCGAGACGGGATCCATCACCGAAATCTTTGGTGCGTCGGAGGGGCCTGGCGCAGAGCGCCCCGTCGCGGGGCGCAGCCTCACACGCGGCGCCGCCCGCCCTGGCAGGCGAGTTTCGGACCGGCAAGACGCAGCTGTGCCACACCCTCTGCGTCACCACGCAGCTGCCTCTCGAGCAGGCGAGGCCAGGATGGGCCGAACACTTCCCGGACACTTCCCAGACACTTCCCGGACACTTCCCCGCAAAACTGTGGGTCGGCGGCTCGCCCCGTTGCAGCCCTGCCCGACAGCCCGCCCTCCGCACCCCCAACCTAGGGCGGCGCCGAGGGAAAGGCCATGTACATCGACACCGAGGGCACCTTCCGCCCCGAGCGGCTCTGCGAGATCGCGGAGAAGTACGGCCTCGACGGCGCGCAGAGCCCCCGCCGCCGTCTCTGCCGCCGCCGCCGCCGCCGCTGCCGCCGCCGCCGCCGCTGCCTCCGCCTCCGCTGCCGGCCTCCGCCGCCGCCGCCGCACGGCGGGGCCGCCTCAGATCGCCGCCCCCGCAGGTGCCGACGTGCTCGACAACGTGGCGTACGCGCGCGCGTACAACTCGGTGCGAGCCAGCTGCCGCTCCTCGCTGAGTCTGAGAGACGAGAGAGTCATTCACGGCTGAGGAGGTAGGAGCACCAGCTGCAGCTCCTCGCCGAGGCGGCGGGCATGATGTCCGACACGCGGTTCGGGCTCATCATCATCGACTCGGTGAGAAGCAGCACAGAATCAGCACAGATGAGTCGAGTGCAGCACAGACGCAGCACAGATGAGTCGAGATGCAGCCGAGAGGCAGCCGAGAGGCAGCCGAGAGGCAGCCGAGAGGCAGCCGAGAGGCAGCCGAGAGGCAGCCGAGAGGCAGCCGAGAGGCAGCCGAGAGGCAGCCGAGAGGCAGCCGAGAGGCAGCCGAGAGGCAGCCGAGAGGCAGCCGAGAGGCAGCCGAGAGGCAGCCGAGAGGCAGCCGGGACGTAGTTGCGCCGGTCTCGGCTCATCATCATCGACCCGGCGGCTGGTCACCGTGCCACCAGCCTCTGACTGACACACGTCCGCCACACGCCCGTGACACTTGCACGCCGTGCCCTCGGAGGCGACCGGTCTGTACCGCACCGACTACTCCGGCCGCGGCGAGCTCTCGGCGAGGCAGATGCACCTGGCAAAGTTCCTGCGCGCCCTCTCCAACTTGGCCGCCCAGTTCGGCGTCGCGTGCGTCATCACCAACCAGGCGGGCGCTCCGCCTGGCGCCCGGAGGCGCGCGCCGCATGGCCCTGTCGCTGACGCGGTGTGGAGGCGCCGGCTCGCAGGTGGTGGCGCAGGTGGACGGCGGCGCCTCGTTCGGCGACAACAAGAAGCCGATCGGAGGCAACATCATCGCGCACGCGTCGACGACCCGGCTCTACTTCCGCAAGGGCCGCGGCGAGAACCGCGTCTGCAAGGTGTACGACTCGCCCTGCCTGCCCGAGGGCGAGGCGACCTTCGCCATCCACGGGGCCGGCATCGGGGACGCGGCCGAGTGAGGCGAGTGAGCCGAGTGAGCCGCCTCGCGCGGGGCCCGAGGGGGCGGGGGGGGGGGGGGGCTCGTGCAGGCACCGGAGCCGGGGAGGGGAGAGGGACGACGCTGCTACGATTGGACCGAGTGCAGTGGAAGCTCATGCGGAGGCGCAAACCGCCAGGTATCGTGGGGCATGGAGTACTGGTCGGGGCGCTCCCGCCCCGGCCACTGCAGAGGCCGAGCCGCCCGCCGTGAAGCAGCTCGCCTACCAGACACCCAAATCTCGGCGTGCAGACTGCGGCGCGGCCCGCGCGACTCTGGCGTGAGCTCGGCCCCTGTCGTGTTTCGTGGGCGAGTGCTCCGCGAAGGAGGGCGTGCGCGCGATGTGGGCCGCACACACACTGATCTCTCACTGCTGTGGAGACTGGCGTGTGTGTGCGGCAGCGGGGGCCGCTCGTGTTGAGAGTGGCACAGAGTGTCTACAGTCTGAACTACCGTACAGTGAGTGGCTGGAGGCTGCCCACCACATGTACATGTGTGTGAGAAGCAGAGCGGCTGCAGTCTGCACGCACATACACGTATACGTTTGTGAATTTCCTGGGTACATCGAGCTCTCTCTACTGTTTGTACCGACGTCTACCCTCTACTTCGTTTTTGCGACAAGGAACACATCTATATATGTTCACACCAGAGTGCAGAGACGAGAGACGAGAGAGACCTCACGTCTCACGCTGGATGTGGATCACCCCCCGACGACCCGTTCACCCATCCTCTCGCTCTCCCCTCTCCGCCCTCTTACACACGAAAACAGCGTCGTCCAGCACGAATGGGCGATTCGCGGTCCCGAGCAGGCTCAGGCCCTGCGAGAGGTACGGGGCCCGCACGAGCCTCAGCACTCGCAGCCCGCTCCGCTCGAGGGCGATGCAAGCCTCACCAGCCGCCTCCTCCCAGCTGCTCGCGCGAATGGGGAGCGGAACAACGTCTCGCGGAGCGCCGGCCGCCTCGCCCGCCGGCGCGGGCGCGTTGATCGCGGCGTGGTGCGAGACGGCGTGCCGCAGCGGCAGCGGCAGGGCAACCACGAGCCGGCCGCCAGGTGCGAGGAGCGAGGAGAGCGCGGCGAGGAAGGCGTCAACGTCCGGCACTCGGTCGAGCACGTTGAGCGCAAAGACGGCGTCGTAGCCGCAGGTGGGGAGCCCGGCGCTGGCCAGCGCGTGCGCGTCGGCAGGGTCGTGGGCCACTGCGGTCGGGATGCCTCGGGCGCGCAGCCGCCACGCCAGCCACTCGGACACCTCCGTCGCATGAATAGCCTCAAAGAGCGGCGCGATGCGCTCGGTGATGGAGCCGCACCCGGCGCCCACATCAAGGGCGCGGCCGCCACAGGCTCCCTCGCCGAGCAGCGCCCGCCACATTGGCGTGCTCAGCAGGTGCATCTCTGGTGCATCGAGGAGCGCTTGCCGGTCGTACTGCGAAAAGCCGGCGAGGCGGAGCAGCCCAGACGCGAGAGCGTGCACAATGGTGCGGTCGCGCGCTGCGGCGCACGCGCGCGATTCGTCATCCAGCTCGAGCGGCGTCAGGTTGGCGCTAGGGCAGGCGCTGGCGACGGCATCGCGAGAGAAGCTGTACCGCCACTCGAGCGCGCTGGCGGCGGAGTACTCAGCGGGCAGCGGGTCGCTGAGCGCGCTCCGTCTCCGCGTCTCGACGCATACGACCGCCGCGAGGCCGGACGCACAGGCGAGCTGGTAGCGCCGGTGCATCAATTGGCGAAACAAACCCTAGAGGCCCAAGTTTGGGCCTATTCTGTCCCGCGTCCCCGCGTTGGTGTCGTACTTTTAGCTTACTGGGAGAAAAGAGAGAGGGGGTTGTCTCTTGGTGTCCAGTCCGAGCCTGACTGTTCTTCATACACACACGTTGCAAATAGCGTGTTATATAGGGAGAAAGTGGTCGCGCTCTGTAGGATTTTACCGTCAAGCTACGTAATTACAAACACCGCGGCACCGTCACCCTCGGCCGGGGATCCCCTCTCCCCTCGACCCCAGCAGCGCGGCAAAGCTGCCGCCCACCCTCGCCGCGAGTTCTGCTGGCGGCCCCTCCTCGGCGACGGCGCCCGCGTCCATGAGCAGCACGCGGTCCAAGTCGAGGATCGTCTCGAGGCGATGGGCGATGACGAGCATCGTCGCGCGCCGCTCGCGAAGCACGCCTTGAACGACGCCGTCTGTCTCTGCGTCGATGGACGAGGTCGCCTCGTCGCAGACGAGCACCTTGGCGCCGCGCAGAATCGCGCGCGCCAGACAGATGAGCTGGCGCTGCCCGGCGCTCCAGTTGTCGCCGCCCTCGCCGACCGCCTCCTTGAGCTTCTCGGCCGCGTCGTCCGCCTCGGCGCACAGCCTCACCCGCCGCAGGGCGCGCGTGAGCGCCTCGTCGGTGCACGCCCTCGCCGGGTCGAGGTTGTAGCGGAGGTCGCCCGAAAACATGACGGCGTCCTGCATCACGACGGCGATACCCGCGCGCAGTCTGGCCAGCGGCACGCTGCGCACGTCGACGCCGTCCACCGAGATGGCGCCGTTCTCTACCTCGACGAGCCGCAGCAGCGCAGACACGAGCGAGCTCTTGCCCGAGCCCGACCGGCCGACGACGCCGAGCCGCTCGCCAGCCTCGACGGAGAAGGACACGCCGCGCAGCGCCGGCGGCAGCTCCGGTCGGTAGCGCAGCGTCACGTCAACAAAGGCGAGTCGCCCTGCGTCGGGCCACGCGTCGCAGAGCGGTGCAGGCTCGACGTTATGCACACGCGCGGACCGCCTGTTTGTGCGGCGGCGCAACGACACGGCCGCGCCGCCGCCGCCGCCGCCCGTGATCCGCATCCGGCGCGGCTCCTCCTGCGGCGTCTCCTCGCAGTACTGTAGGTTCCGCTCGACGGAGACGAGGTCGATCTCAAGGCGCAGCACGACCTGCAGCGCGCCTTGCAGCGCGTAGGCGATGCCGAGGCCGTAAGAGAGCGCGAGCCCGATGAGCCCGCCGCTCGACGACGACGAGCCGCCGCCGCCGCCGCCGCCGCCGCCTTCGCCAGGGCTGTCGAACATGCCGACGCCACCGCTTCCGCTCTCCCCGGGCCCGTCGCCACCGCCCTCCGTGGCGCGAGCGGCGACGGCGAAGGCTACAACGAGAGCGACCATGCACGAGCCGAGCAGCTGCACCGACAGGTCGAGCCATCGCTGCACGGCGCCGCGGCTGAAGCGCGCTCGCTCAGCACGCAGCAGCGCCGAGCGGTATCGCCGCTCGTGCAGCGACGTGAGTCGCGCGGCACGGATGAGCGGCGCGCCATGCAGCGCCTCGGTGAAGAGCTGGAAGAGGGGCGAGTTGCGCACTGCGACGAGCCGCTCGAGCTCGCGGCCGGCGGGGCGATAGGCTCGTCCAATTTGCACAAAGAGCAAGAGGAGCGGCAGCGCGGCGAGCGCAAACGTGCGCGTGACGAGCACGAGCACGCCGAGCATCGACAGGAGCTCGAGGAGCTGAAGCACCGAGTGGAAGAGCGTCCAGCCTACCTGCTCGTCGATGGTGTTTGTATCCCGCGTGAAGCGGTTGAGGATGCGCCCAACTGCCGTCGCGTCGAAGAAGGCCTGCCGTGCGCCGAGCACCGCATCGAGCAGCTGCGCGTGCAGCGCGCCGCTCGCGCGCCAGCTGGTGTGCGCCGCGAGGAGGAGGATCAGCATCGTCGTGCCGGCCGAGCCGAGGGAGAGCCCGAGGTACAGGTAGAGCGGCTGCAGCTCCTCCACGCGCGATCGAGGGCTGCCGGCGCCCGCCGCATCGTCCGCCTCGCCGCTCGACCACAAGCCGAGCCACAGGTCGGCACCGCGCTCGAGCGCCGCCTGCACGAGGAAGCAGAGCACGAAAGGGACCGCCGCCAGCGCGCCGCCCGAGCCCTTGATATAATGGCCCAACACGGCGCACTTGACGGCGCCCGACGCGCGCTCCTCCTCGTCCTCCTCCCTCTCATCCTCAGCGCCCGCGATGGCGGTGGCGTCCTCTTCGTCGCCCGCAAGCTCCACCTGCTTCAGCCGCACCTCCTCCACCGCCTCCACAGCGGCTGCCTCCGCCGCGGCCTCCACACTCGGCGCCCCGCTTCCCCCTTGAGCTTGGTCGACGCCGTCGGCCGCGCTGTCGGGCGCGGCGGTGCCCGCGACGAGCTCCTCCAGGTCGAGCCCCTGCTCCGCCAGTTGCCGAACCGTCCCAGTGAGGCCGATGCGGCCGTGCTGCATGACGAGCACGCGATCGAAGCCCGACACGAAGGTGAGGGCGTGCGTCACGCAGACCACGGTTCGGCCGCGCAGCCAGCCGCGGAGCACATGCCGGTATAGGTGGTGGGCGATGGCGCGGTCGACGGCGGAGAGAGGGTCGTCGAGCAGCAAGATCGGCGCCGGCGAGTAGCACGCGCGCGCGAGCGCCACGCGCTGCCGCTGCCCGCCCGATAGCATCACCCCCTTCTCGCCCACCCTTGTCAAGTCGCCGCTGCCCAGCTGCGCCAGGTCGGTCTCCAGCGCGCACGCCTTGAGGACCGCAGCGTAGCGCGACGCGTCGAACCGCCGGCCGTACACGATGTTCTCGCGCACGGTGCCCGACGCAATCACCGCCTCCTGCGGAGCGTACGCCACCTCTTGGCGGGCGTCGCAAACAGCGGAGGCCGAACCGCCGCCCTCCGTGCGCACAAGCTCTCCAAGCATCGCGAGCAGGAGGGCTGTCTTTCCCGAGCCAACCTCGCCGATGACAGCGATTAGCTCTCCTTCACGCACGCTCAGGTTCACCGCCTCCAGGGCCTTGCCGTCGGTCAGCGCGGGGAGCGACGGAGGCGCGGCGAGTCCCGACGGGGCGAGGTGGGAGGTGGCGGGCGTCGTCGGCGAGTTTGGCTCGTCGCCGCTGCCGCCGCCGCTGCTCGCTGCTTCGACACCGCCTTCTCTTCCGCTCTCGCCCTCCTTCTGCCCCTCTTTGGGCTCTGCGTCTGCAGAGTGCCACGAAAACGAAGCGCCGTGCAAGCGCAGCACCACGCTGCGACCATCCGGGTCGGGCTCTCCGGGCTCCTCCTCGGCCGCTGCCGCCGGCCTCGCCGCCGCGTCTGGTGCGAGCAGCGGCGCCGTGCCCAGTTCCTCAGCCGCCGTGGCAGCAATGGCGGCGGGCGTGGCGGTGAGAGCGGTCAGCACGGGGGCATCGTCGGCGAGCAGGAGGCGGCGGATGCGCCGGAGGGAGACGGCGGCGTTGAGCAGCTCGCTGACGATGTACGGCATGATCAGGAGCGGCTCGTGGAGCAGCTGCAGCAGCAGCAGCGTCGAGAAGGCGACCGCCGGCGTGATTGGGCAGTGGCTGAGCCCGGGCGGCGACGAGCCGCACGCGAGGTGGGGCGGGAGGAGGATGTACGATGCGAACACGGCGGTGGAGAGGAGGGGTGGAATTGCCGACCAGAAGAAGCCCTGCAACGCGTTGAGGTACTGCGTGCGGCGCAGCGTCGTCAGCTCCTTCCCTCGCACCGCTTGCACGCGCGCACCCAGCGGCGCGTCGAGCCCCGAGGCCTTGACGCCCTTGGCGGCGCGCAGGATCTCCGACATCAGCTTGGTGCGCTCGTCGCGGCGCTTCATGAGTACCTCCTCGAGCGCGTAAGACTTGGCGATCACCACAGCCGCGAGCGGCATCATGACGAGCACCACCGCGAGCCCGAAGACCAGGGCGAGGCGAACCTGCGTCACGAGCATCGACAGGGCGACGCCCAGCATCAGGAAGGGCGAGTACGAGTAGTGGAGCCAGGGAATGAGGTCGGAGACGCGCTGCACGTCGACCGACATGCGCGTGAGCACGTCGCCCACGCCAAAGGCTCCTCGCGAGGCGGCGGAGAGGCGCAGCGCCTTGTTGAACATCAGCGTCTTCAGGATGGTCTCTGTGCGCACCGCTTGCCTCGAGCCGATGAAGTGGCCAGCCACGTCAAACAGGGCGGCGAAGAAGGAGCACGCGACGAGCGCGGCGCCATACGCGGCGCCCAGCCACCACGGCGCGCTCGGATCCTGCACAAAGTCGCTCAGAAACGAGCGCAGCAGCAGCGGCTGCCCGAGCGAGCAGGCGTCACTGAGAATGCAGTACACGCCGCCCAAGAGGAACTGGCCGCCACACGTCTGCCAGAAGATGTGCCTGAAGGCGCCGCGGCGCTGCTCCCACAGGTCTGCGCCTCTCCTCGCGTTGCGCTCCACATCGTCTCGCCACCAGAGCGGCAGCAAGTCCTCCTCGCCGAGCTGCTTGCGCCACGAGACTCGCAGCAGCGGCACGACCCAGCCAAAGAAGACGAGGGAGAGCGCGCCGATGCGCGAGCGGTGACGGTGGTGTGTGCGGTGCGTCGGCTCGAGGAGCGGGGCGCGGGAGGGTCGAGTCTGCCGGCGGCGGTCCGCCGCCGGCGCGCTCGGCTCAGTGTCTTCAAACCCGCCGGTGGGAGCTCCGCTTGCGGGCAACGATTGAACATGCGGGCAGCCTCGCTGTCCGTGAATCAAGCACTCTTCACGGACGGTTTGATTGTGGAAACACCCAATCTCTACACCCCTTATTAAAATGAACTCGGGGGCACAGGACGCGGCACAAACGGGGTACACCAAAAGGCACGGGCAATCCGCGTGTCTGCGTTCTTTTTTGGAAAAACTGGAACCTTCCGTCAAGGCTAGTAACATGCGAGGGGCTGAGCTGTAAAGGTTTGGACCATCCGCGTGTTATCAAAGCGAGAAGACGCACACACTGCGGAAATTCGCACTCACCCCCCACTGTCGCCAGACTGTGAGAGGCTGTAGGGGAGGAGGGTGGGAGACCATAGCTCCCGCGTTCCCGTCGGGCTCCAAAGCAGGCATAGCACAAGCCGCCGCCAGGCGCGCTTGCGAAACACCGACGGCAAACGTAAATTCGTAGGCGCCCGACGGAATTAATCCCGATTAGGCGCCCGCGACACACTGAATACCCCGGGCGGGCCTCCGCTCCGGGGCTGCTCTATCTCCATTGTCTGCACGCAACCATGGTTATGCCCTTCACACCCCCAGCCCTCGTGTCACCGTTGTCCAACACCTTTGGGTGTCACACTGCAGTAACATGCGAGGGGCTGAGCTGTAAAGGTTTGGACCATCCGCGTGTTATCAAAGCGAGAAGACGCACACACTGCGGAAATTCGCACTCACCAAGCTGCAGAGGAAGACGCCCAAGCTGAAAGCAAGTCCCAACGTTGCACGCAAACTTGGGACGCCCCTCGAACCTCGGTGACACGAAGAACCACTATTCCATCGCATTGATGGCAAAGTCCGAGACCTCCTCGAGGCCCGGCATGGAGTCGGAGTCGGAGGCGCCTGCCTCGCCGTCGTCGTCATAAGAGAGGTAGTCGGGGAGAGCGTCGCCGTCCGCCTCGGCGCGCGACGACTCATCCCACTCGCGCCACGCATCGGCCCGGCTGAGCGCGGAGCGGCCGTCTGGCCCCACGTAGCCGCCCCCCTGGGAGAGGCGCCAGCCGTCGGGGAGGAGGTTGGCCTCGCTGGCGGCCTCGGCCTCCGCGATGGACGTGTGGACGTCGCCAGCCTCGTCGCCCCCCTCAGGCACCACGTTCGCTGGGCCCTCGACCCGCCCGTCGACCGCCGCGACCGCGCCGCTTGCTGTGGCAGCGGCCGAGCCACCACCCTGCAGCGCCTCGCGTGTAAGCCGCACCGCAGGCGGGCCGCGCTCGGCAGGGGCGGAGGCGCTGCGCGCCGCGGGCTGGGCGCCCTCGGCGGCGCCGCCCCCTTCGGCCCGAAGGACGCCGCTCACCGCGGCTGGGATCTGAGCAACGAGACCCATCGGGAAACGCGAGTAGCGCTTGTGGGCATCGCTCTTCCATAAGCCACATGCGCCACCGTCACGTCCTCGCCCAACACCCGCTTCGAGTTGTTGTAGCCCTCGACCCGCAGGCCGTGGAGCCCGCCCTCCTCGCCCGCCGCGACACCGACAGCGCGTTGAGCCGCCTTGAACTGGTCCATGGCGGGCGCGTAGCGGAGGGGGCGTCGGCGGCCATCCACCGTCTCGAGGAAGAAAGGCTCGTCTGGGTCGCGACGGGCGTTGAGGACGGCGATGTGGAACCCCATGAGGCGCACGAACCACGCAATGATGCTGTACCTCGAGTCAGCCACATCGCCAACAAAGGCCCAGTCGCCGTCGCCCCTCGCCTCTGGGCGCTCCACACGCTGGTCCTGCTTGATCTTCTTGAAACGGACCCACAATCCCCGCACCGTGTTGCCGCTTTCGTCCTGGACCTGTCCGATGTCGACGTCGCTGACCGTCATATGTTCGGTCTTGTCAAACCTCTCACGCCCCTCAAAGGTCTTGCAGAGGCCAGACTCGGAGCGAGAAAAGGTGTACACGAGCAGGAGGATGAGGAAAACGAGCTGGACGGATGCGAAGTTCCTCACGTCAGTCGCCCTGATAATGGCGGCGACGATGGCGAAGGGGACGGCCTTCCGAGGCTCGCCAGGGACCCACGTCAGGACCTTGACCCCGGCCATGAACATGGTCCAATCGACGACGCCAAGACGTGGATCTGCCTGGTGCATCATCTGCTGCCACGTGCAGATGCCCCACGCGTAGCCCTCGATCGAGCCGAAGACAAGCTTCGTGTCCACGACCATCGACATTACGCATGCGGCAAGCTTTCCGCCCCTCTCGGGGTCGTCTGTGTAGATGATGACCGACCAGCCGTACTGCAAACACGTCTCCTTCCAGTACTTCATGGCCGCATTCACCGTACGCCATGACGACGGCGCCAGCCGGTTGTCAAAGACGCTCTCCACCGGTCGCACCCAACGGCACGGGAGGCCCTGGAAGACGGACGACCTCGTGAAGGGCTGATGCCCACCTCCGTCCCCGGGGGCGGCAGCACAGCCACAGAGAAGGCACATGGAGAGGATCGTTGTCCCCATGTTCGCCCTGCGTACGCGTGGCGCCTGGGCGGGCCGCGGCCGGACGGCCCCTGCGACATGAGCCCGCCTGCGGCGCTGCTGCTGTCGCCCGGGGGGCGCTTGGGCGCGCGCTGCGCCGCCCTCCGCCGCCCATGCCCGTCCGGCCCGCGCGATTGCGGGGAGGGACGCGCCGAGAATGACGCCGCCGACCGCTATGATGGCGCCCAGGATGACCGCCACAAGGGGAAGGCCGCCATGGACTGCGAGAGGGGTGACGGCCTCAGTCTGCTCGACCACGCACGTGACAAAAAGGCAAAGCGTGATCCACGTCCGCCCTACTGCCCGCCCGCGGCGAACAGGGGGGGGCGCCCGCGTGGGCTGCTCGGGTACATCCTCAAAGGCACGGCGGCGTTCCGGCAGCGCGCGCTCCCTGCCCGCGCCGGCGCTCCTCTGCAGGAAAGCGCCTGGAGCCAGGAAGCCGCTCTCATCAACCTTCGCGAGGAACTCCGCCTCGCGGCCTCTCGACAGGTCGTCCGCCAGGTAGTTTGCCTCCGAGCTGATCCAGTAGAAGGAGTAGACAAACCCGTATCGCAACTGCAGGGCGAAGAACTCGTACATGAGGAAGCGAAGCCGCTCCGCTCGCGACCTTCCCCGCGAGCCCGAGCCCTCGATGGTCCGGTTGTCAACGGCAAAGGGGACGATGCATCCGCGCCAAGAGTGACCAAGCTCCGCGGTGGCGACTGTGACAGCGTCCCCCTCGAGGTAGTCGATGAGCGAGCGAGCGGCCGACCGCGTGTAACGCCACAGGCTGTACCTGCCCCACACGTCGACATAGCCCCCCCCGGCATAGAGGCTGCCCCGGCTGGCATCCGAGCGCACCTCGCCCGCCCTCGGGAGGCCAAGGTACGAGAAGAATCCCCGCCCGTGGTTCCACTGCAAAAGGCGCCGCACGATCTGGAAGTCCAATTTAATCGCCCGCGTGAGGCGCCGCCGTTGCCACGCGAAGCGGAGGCCTGTCATGAGCCCAAACAGGCCAGAGAGCAGACAGCCCGCCCCGGGTGGAAAAGTCATGACGCACCGTTGGATCCGGCCGGCGGCAACCTGCATCTCGTTCAGCGTGAGGGACGGTCGCCCGCACATCTCGTCCAGCATCGCACTGTACTCGTCCCGTTTAGCGGGGTCGAGGGTGCGCGTGCGGTCCACGGAGTTCCACCAGAAGCCGATCACGTACTGGCACATTGCGGCGGGGCGGTCCTTCGCAGCCTTGAAGAAGACTCCGAGCAACGAGCACCACCAATGGAAGCCGAGCATCTCATTGTCAACCTGGCATCGGTCAGGTCCCATGAGCGCGCAGTCATCGACATGTATCGCCATAGGCAGAGTGAGGACCTGCTCGGACCTTGCCATCTGCACGACCCCGTCGACGAAAAACCGCTTGAATGTGCCTGGCATGCCCGCTGTCCCAAAGTCGCAACAGACGTTCACCAGCAGGTACAGCGGCCCCCGGTGCTCTAGCCAGAACCGCGAGAAGAAGAACGGCCACAGCTCGGGCGCGATCGGCAAATGAGCGAAGGCGTCGGCCACGTCCGAGACGCGCATAAAGTAGTTCGTCCCGAAGAACCACGCAATCTCCGAGTACGACAAGATCTTATGCTTGAACGGCTCGAGATCAGACGCGGCATTAAGGCCTGTCTTCTTGTGGTCACTGAGCGCACGGGTCCCGCCGTCTGATTTTGGCGCGGCGCCGTACGGAAAGATGGCCGTGGCCGTGTAGATACCTCGCACGGCCCTCGCCAAGTCGTGCGTCCACGGCCCAACCACCAAAGTCTTCTGCGCAGCCACCCTCTTACCGAGCGAGCGTGAGACGCCCTCCCGAGCCTCGATGGCGCTGGGATGGTTCCGGAAATGTCTGTGGCCCTGCATTTGGTCGACGTCAACGCCGAGTTTTGCCCCGTACGTCAAGACGTCTTTAATGAAAGCACAGTTTTCCTCCGTGACAAATCCCCGACACGTCGCCCTCAACAGGCTCGTCATGAAGCGATCGTAGACGATGGGCACGCCAGGAAGCGCACATGCATTCTCCCGCCTGACAGTCTCGGCAAGTTCGGCCAAGGCGTCAAAGGGCTCGGAACCGGTCTTTTCTGTCCACGAGGGGTGCCCGGCGGGGGCAACGCAATCTCCCTCACGGGAGAGCATTGTCGCAACCGTGGGGGTTGTCGCAAGTAGCACGACTGTGGCCTGGAGTGCCCGCGCTGTTGCGGCACTGCCCCGCCTTGCCCTTGTTGTTGACCCAGTGGTCGCAGACGTGGTCGAATTTGCAGGTGCCGTCGGCGAAAAGCTCCCTCGCCTGGTGCTCGCGACCCACGTTGAAAGCCGAGCACGTCCTGCCTCCAGGAGTGAACTTGCCATTGTATGGCTTCTTGACGCTGCTCGGGCCAGCACCCCCCACACGGGGAGCAGGGCTCGGCGTAGATGGTGGCGTAGCTGGTGGCCCCTCGGCCCGCGGGGTCCCCCCGCGTGTACGAAAAAATGCGACCCCGGGATAGTGTTTTGGCATCACTCGCTCGGCCTCCTCGTACATGGCGGCGGTGTGAACCTCTTCTGTTGCCTTGGCCAGTGTAATCCGTCCGCCCGACTCCTCGATCTTGCGCAGGTAGACGACGAGCAGGACGACCGCAAATTGCCAGGTGCGATCCCGACGGAGCACAGAGTCGTGCACGACGAGGTAGATGAACTCGCACAGCGGGATGGCCGGGATAGAGACGGCGATGGCCAACATGACAAACAGGTTCAGACACGCCGCAAACTCCGCCTCCGTCTTGACATAGGCAATGGTAGCCTTGGTGCCGCCTCCCTTTCCGGTCACGGTGGTGACGTCTGCGCGATCGCAGCTCTCACCCCGACTGATGAACGTGGAGACATTCGCCCAGAGCAGCGACATGGAACCGGTGACGCTCGTCCCCTCTGGTCCACTGAGGCCGTCAGACTCGGTCGCTGAAGTGACATATTTGAAGCCCCCTTTCAGGTAGTCCGTCCACTTTTCTTTCTCCCTCTCGAGCAGCGCCTTTGCGGCGTCGTCCCCCGCCGTGTCGATCGCCTGGTCAATCTCTTCGATCACTTGCTGGATCTGTGTCGCCGCGTCAATCTGGGAGATTCTCCCAGTTTGCATTGCCGCCGTCACCTCGGATGGTTTTGTGGTCCGCTTGATCTCGAAAGTCGTGCCCTTCTCGGGTTGGCGGTGCAGGGCTACAAAGCGCTGCAGCATTCCCCCTCCCAGGACCCGCAGGAACCGTGGTCGGAGCAGGTTCGCGATGGTCATGGTGCTCACCGCCGCCGTGCCGAGGAGCACTTTCGCGTTGTTAGCCACGACAGTGGCGGCGGGGCAAGTATGGGAGGTGTCGTAGTCGCACGACGCGAGGTTGCCGCCGCACGTCGGGCACACAGCATCTGCTGCTGCAACCAGGAACGTGAGGAAGAACAAGAGGCTCCCGATAAATGCCCGGCGCGATTGGCCCACATACCGTGGGATGAGCAGGGACAGGTAGTCGCTGCCCCTGGTGGTCGAGGGTCGCGATCCCCCCTTCTTGTCGCCCGTGGTGTGGTGCTCACCCCCACCTGTCAGCAACAGAACGTAGGCCGTGGTCACAATGAGCGCGGGCAGGACGAACTCGAGAATCGCCCTGGGGTACTTGGAGGGGCTGGTGGCGGTGAGAGCTGCGCTCATGACGCAGCCGGAGGCCCCGCCAACCGTAATGGGTAGGCTGAGTTGGTCTGACTCCATGGTGAGGTTGTTGCCAACTAGCCCCGGAAAGCCTTGCATCAACACGAGGCAAAGGGCACCGACTGCGGGCAACGAGGCAAAGCCTTGGCCCCAGCACGAAGGCCAGCCCATGTCCCAGACCATAGCTCCCGCGTTCCCGTCGGGCTCTAAAGCAGGCATAGCACAAGCCGCCGCCAGGCGCGCTTGCGAAACACCGACGGCAAACGTAAATTCGTAGGCGCCCGACGGAATTAATCCCGATTAGGCGCCCGCGACACACTGAATACCCCGGGCGGGCCTCCGCTCCGGGGCTGCTCTATCTCCATTGTCTGCACGCAACCATGGTTATGCCCTTCACACCCCCAGCCCTCGTGTCACCGTTGTCCAACACCTTTGGGTGTCACACTGCACTTTCCCTCTCCCCCGGGCTCGGCCACTGTATGCTCTCTGTCCTCCGAGCACCGGCCCCGCTCGCCTCGATCTCTCGCGCCGCCATCCGTCCCGTCATGACTGCCGCTGCCGCCGCCATGACTGAGGAGGAGAGCTTCCTATTCGACCTCAACGGCTTCCTGGTCGTTCGAGGCGTCTTCACCGCCGAAGAGGTTGCAGCAGCCAACGCAGCCGTGGATGCGCACGCCGCAGAGGAGCTCAAGGCCCGTGGTGCCGCGGCGCTGCGCAACGCCAAGAGCGGCACGCCGATGGCGGCGAGCGGACCACGGATGGATATGGGCGGCATGCTCTGGTGGCAGGCAGATCAGTCGAAGCTCTTTCGCGACATGCTCACACACCCGAGGCTAGTCCCGTACTACCGGGCCCTATGCGGGGAGGGGTACCGGATGGACCACCAGCCGCTCCTCGTCGCGCAGGGGCCCGACTCTGAGGGCTTCAAGTTGCACGGCGGCCCCATCTCGGGCGCAGACGGCGTGCCTCAGGTGCAGCACTGATACCTCCCGTTCTCAGATTGCACACCTCACCCTCGCACCCTCATCCTCGCGCCCTCGCGCCCTCGCGCCCTCAGGGCGTCTTCAACCCGGAGTTGCAGTACCGCTGCGTGCACGGGCAGCTGTGGACGTCGCTGCTGGCCGCCTCGGTGCAGCTCTGCGACCACCAGCCGGGCGACGGCGGCTTCTGCATCGTGCGAGGCTCGCACAAGCTCAACCTGCCCGTGCCGACCGACTTTGCGGACGGGGTGGGCTCGGCCTTTGCCGAGCACATCCACCACCCAGCCACCCGGGCGGGGGACGTCGTCCTCTGGTCGGAGGCGACGGTGCACGGCGCGACCCCGTGGCGCGCGGAGCGCGAGCGGCGCGTCGCGATCTACCGCTTCGCGCCTCCGAACATGGGCTACGGCCGTGGCTACCTCGACATCCCTCCCGGCGCGATGGAGGGCCTCACGCCCCTGCAGCGCGCCGTGCTCGAGCCGCCGTACGCCACCCGCCTCGAGCGGCCGCTCGTCACGGCCAGCGCGGCGGCGGAGGAGGACGGGGCCACGGAGGCGGTGCGGCACCTTAGGTCGGAGGCGAAGAAGGAGCACGACCGGCAGACGCTGGGCACGGCGTACTTCTGACGGACGCTGCGACGATTGTGTCCCGTGTCTGTGGCCGGCTGGGCGCCCCGGCGCGCCGATCCGCGCACACGGAGCGAGCAGCAGCAGCGCGCGCGCGCGCGCAAGCCGCGCGCGCAACGCAGCGATTTCATTGATTCAATGCAGGTCGCAGCCGGGTCGCGGGTGTGCCGTCAAGTCTCAGTGGGGTCGTTCCCTCCGTACACAAAGTCTCTGCCGCGCCCGGTTTTACGTGCGACGTCATCACACATAGAGACCGCGTACGAAACACACACACGACACACACAGTGTCGAGACACCTTGTGACGGTGCCGAGAGAGAGAGAATTCTTGATACGAAACCACGACGACACACACCAGTCGACTCGCATCGGTTGCCTCCATGAACGGCGGAGCTATTCTCGCGCCCACACCACACCTGGCTCCAACGTGGACACGCCCATAGCTGGGGACACTACTAGGTCACGCATGGCATCACAGAAGTTTTATCTCTGGGCCCCGAAAGGCATCTCTAGCAGTGTCGTTACGCATGCCCCCTCCCATCCTGGGCGCATGCGCCTCACGTCTCGCCAGAGCATAAGCCCTTGGCGTGTGGCGAGACGAGTTTTTCGCCATGCAGCGAGCAGCAAGCCGCCCGCCGCACTCTCTCTCTCTCTCTGACGGTGCCCTGGCAAAATCGTCCCGATTTCGATGCGCGATTTAGCTAAGTCCCAGAGCCGTTTACGCATGAGCGGGCCCCCTCACCAGCCTAGGGCTCGCGCTTCTGGCCCGAGGTGTCGCCGCTGCCTCCCGCGCCCTCCGGCGCCTGCTGCTACTGCCGATCGGCCGGTCGGGTCCGCGCGACGGCTCCATCCTCGAGACGTAGCGGTCGCTGAGCGCTTTCTCGACCGCTACGTCTTCCAGTGCACCCACCCACCGCGACCCTCGAACCTGCGCTGCGCGGCGCAGTTGCTGCCGAGCGAGACGCCCCCGCCCGCGCAGGGGCGGCATCACCAGACGCTACCGCATGGCCGAGCAGCGAGCAGTGTGTGCCGCAGTGCCCGTCCGGGCCCTCTTGCAGCTGCCTCTATTGGGCGTAAACCGCGGATATAAGGGTCTATACGGAGGTGGGTGGCCTCTTAGAGGTATGGGAGCCGCTGGCACCGCGCTGGGCGCCGCGGATGCACGTACGAACGAACATTATGAAATCGGGACGATTTTGACCCAAAAATCACAAGGTGGACGTTGCTTCGTTGGTCTGCGTGGTCCGTCCGTGGTCAACTTGGGTGGAGGGGCGCCGCAAACAGCTGTAGGAGCAGCGGGGCAGCGAGCTCTCTCCCCGTCACCCAATCCTTGTCGACCGTCTCGCTGCGGACGCAGCGCAGCGCCGTTGCGGCCTCGACGGCGGCGACAAAGCCAGCGACGCCCTGGCGCGCGCCCTCCGACCGGCACCCGTCGCCGTCGTGCACAAAGAGCGCCCTCGCGTGGGGGCCCTCCAGCAGCCGCTCCGCCGTCGCCGCGAGCCGGTCCGGCGACACGAAGCCGTAGACGAGATCGGCGGCGAGGAGGAGGTCGAACCGGCCTTCCGCCGCCGCCTCGCTCGCCTCGCTCGCCTCGGCGTCGAGGTGCGCCACGCGCACATTCGGGAGGAAGTTCCTCGCCGCGTTCCGCTTGGCGAGCCGGAGGGCGGCGGGGTCGACGTCTGTCAGGGTCACCTCTCTCGCTCCGAGTGCCGCGGCCGCTAGGCCTGCCGCAGCGGTGCCGCACCCGAGCTCGAGAACGCGGCTGCCCGTCAGGTCCAGCCCGGCCCAGTGCGTCTCGCACGCCCACGCGCACAGCTGCGAGGCGCGCCAGAGCCGCGTGCCCGTGCCGGCGCCCCGAGGCCGGCACCACAGCAGAAGCGCCGACTCTCGCACTGCGAGGCGAAGCGTGTGCTCTCCCTGGCCAGACAGACTGGAGATGAGCTCCGAGAGGGCGGCGGCCAGCCCGGAGGCATCGTCCGCGTCGTGAACAACGGCCTGCTGCAGGCGCGGAATGAGCGACGACGCGCAGATGCCCGCTCGCTCTGCTGCTGCGAGCGCTTCTGGCTGCTCGAGCAGTGCCATCGCGGCCGCCGCCGCCCTAAGCCGGTCGACGAGCTGCTGGTCGCACGGCTGGCCGCGCAGGCTAGCGAGCAGGCCGACGAGCTCCTCGTCGGTCGACGTCGTGTCGGGACTCGCGCGTTTCAATATGCGACCGCGCACCCCCAGGAGCTGCGCGCCCGGCCATGCAGCGGCTATGCTTGCTTCGCTTGCTGAGCGAGTCCAACCCGCGGGGGGGGGCCGGTGAGGGTGGCTGGAAGTATTCAGGGGAACTTAGTCTGCCCATAGGGGTGGTTGAGACTGCGAAGAGAGATAGGAAGAGGCAGACTCCCTAGGGTGGGCGACGGATAGCGCACCACACACCTCTCCTTAAAATCCCTGTGTGGTGGCGGCGTGCCGTCCTCCCATCCCTCCCTTGGGTTGTCTGTTTTCTTTCTTTCTTTTTAGGGGTGGTTGAGGGGTTGAGGGTTGAGGCCCCCCCTCAACCATCTGGTTGACGGTTGAGACCCCCCGTCAACCCTTTAGTTGGGGGTTGAGGCCTCCGGGGCCTATTCACAGGCTCGCGCGTGATCACAAGATAAATTGGAACAGCCCTGCGGCAAAAAATCGCTTCGCCTGCGGCGCGCTCTTGCGCTCCTCGTACTTCGAGCGCAATCCATAAGTAGAAGACGCTCACTGTCGCCATTCAGGCGCCTGATCTTTCAGCAAAGCGATGGCCTACCAGGTACGAGTTCAGATGCGCGCCCGGCAGAAGACGCTACCTTGTGATGCCGCATGCAGTGGAATGCGCACAGAGAACGGACGGCAAGAGAAGGCAAGGGAAGGAAGAGAAACGGCTGGTGAAGCTCAGCTCACGGCGTAGTATCGCGTAAGCAACCGCGGTCACTAACCATCCACGGCAAGAGTCAGTCACGGTGAATGCTGCCGCATAAAAGCAACAGAGTCGCGGTTGGCGCGATGATCGTTAACGACTTGACGTTGCACACGGCCATAGACGCAGATCTGTTTGGCGAGCCTCAAGCAGCGGAAGCAGGCGCGAGAAATTAATGTCAATCCTGAGATCTCAATTTGGGCGCTAGTTTCGATTCCTGGTACATCACGACGACTTGGGTCTCATGTAGCTCGATGGCTCTCGACGGCTCTTTCTGGTTGGATGCATCAGACAGTGCTATCAGTCAACAACACAATGCCGAGAGCAGGGCGGCCTTCGAGCAGGGCGGCCTTTGAGGCAACTAAGTTCCTGCTGCATTTTGCCACTCAACTTACAACTTGATGGCGGGCGGACGTGTCGACTGTCGAGCATGGAAGGCGGCCATTGCTCAAACCTGTTCGAGTTGGGAGAGAGAGAGAGATTTTTAGAAGCCTCGAGTTGGCCTCCGGGAACCAGGGTGCGTGGCCGGCGCGGTCTGTTTCACGTGCAATAAGGGCAACGCCATCAAAATCGCGAACATGGGCCGACATGCCTCCGACATTTCTCAGGGCTCGGACGGAAGCCTTGCAGACAGCCAGACCGCTCTGCGCGGTCGGACCGACTTTTTCAGACTTTACTATTCTGGATACTGAGGGTATGTGCTGCTAGATCTCACTGAGCTGAGCTCGTATCTGCCTTTGGTAAGCACTTTTGAGTTCGGTAATGTCTCCGGAGACGGAGGGCCGCGTCCGCGGACGACCATGACGTCGGCCGGGACCCCCCCCGTGCGGGGGCCTTCGATGGCTGTCAGCGCTCCTCTTTGCATCACACCTCCCATTCACGCACGTAGCTGAAGCAAGTACTCGTAAAAACGGCGCGTCAAATGCAGCATCCAGGCGTCTAAAGAAGACGACATGAATGGTTCACAGAGAATGTGTGTTCAGACCTTTGCGCGGGGGGTGTGAACAGCCATTCCGCGTGGTTGAGGGGTTGAAGGGGTCTGTCAACCACTTGGTTGAGGGTTGAGGCCTCTGTCAACCACGTGGTTGACAGTTGAGGCAATCGGCCTCAACCACCGCTATGAGTAGACTTCAGGGAGGGGGGGGTAGGCCTCGCGGGAAAGGAAGAAAAACTTCGGTCCGCAATGCCAGATCAGAGTGTCGGCAACACCCGCGCAGGTGGGGGTCTACTCTGATGATCCGGCTCGCTCTGGTGCTGCTATCCGTACCGTTCGCATCGACGACGGAGTCCTCCAAGGCGATCAAGGACTGGCGGGCCAGCGGCACAGTGGCCCTGAAGGATTGGCGCGCGGGCGCGGTGCGGTTGATGGGCTATGTGGATGAAGGACTGGCGGTACCGAGCATGGCAGCCGCTCGCTGGCGGGAAAAGAAGGAGCAGCGAAGGAACGACTTCACGGTCAGTGACGTTGAGGATGACTGCACTATAACGACCAAGAAAGTCCAAGGCGGCACGCTCTGCATCTCGCCGCCGATGGACCTCCACGCTGCCCCAGTACCTCTTTCCAGCCTTCCGATTGAGTGGGCGCTGCGCATCCCGCCGGTAGCCAGCGCATAGGGAGCATCGCGAACGAAGCCTCACCGGCCAGCCGGCGGCAGCCGTCCAGGCTCCAGCCGACACCACATTAACCGGCAAAACGCTGTCGTTTGACGTTTCGTGCGAGAAGCCGCAAGAGATTGTCCCAGTCGCGGGGCCAACACGGATGTCCGGCGCACAGAAGATCTCGTCGCGGTGCTATGAATGATATCACACATTGAGATGAGTAGACTGAAGAGCGAAGCGCGTGACACACCACGGCACCGTGCACGGCTCGAGGTGCGGGCCACAGCCCACACGATGAGAGTGGCGCGGCGCAGAGCTGACACTGACTCGACTAGCGACTGGAATCAGTGAGACCCAGCGACACAGCGTCACACACACGCGACACGAGGACGGGGGCCGAGCTCTCAGGGGCCGCCTAGGGCCGCGGCAAGGCCGAGCTCCCAGCAGCGGTAGAGGGCGGGGAGGACATCCAGACCGCCGGCTCGCGCACAATCTCAGAGTTCTCCCGCTCCGCCCGCAGCGCAAACGCCGCCGCGACTCTGTCCTTGGTCGTCGCTCCTGTGGCTGCGGCCGCGGCCGCGGCCAGGCGTGGCCGAGGCGCGTCCAGCGGCGGTGGCGGCGCATCTGGCGGGTCCTCTGCTGGCGCCGCGGCGTTTCTGTCGGCGGCAAATGACTTCTTCTCCTCGAGGATGCGCGCGTGTCCCTGCTGCTGCAGCTCCTCGAGCGCCTCGAGCATTCCCATGCGCGAGCCAAAGATTGAAGCCACGATGCCGACGGCGCCCGGCACATGCCAGCGCCAGCCTCTCCACCGGGTGACGAGCTTGCTGCGCTCGACGCCACGGATGAGGACGTAACCGGCGAGGAATCCGCCGACGCCGTACAGCGCGGTGTTCTTGAAGGCGTACTGCAGGCACAGAATGGCACGGCTGAGGCTGTTGTCGGCGCGGCCGAGGTTTGCGCTGCCGTCGGCATGGATCTGCTGAGGCGTCATTTTGGTGGCAGTCAACGGCCGCGCGATCGACTCGCGGCTGTCGTCGACCGAGTAACTACCTCGCTCCGCGCCGATCGGGCGGCGAGGCGTTATTCGCGGGCTCTCGTCCTGCTCCATACCAAAGGAAAGTACCAGGAAGAAGAAGAAAAAGCTTCCGCTTCTTCTTCGCCTTCTTATCGTCCTTCCAAAATCCTGCTCGTGCAGGTGGGGACCCTGTCCTCCTCCCCCATCCCTCGTCTGGGTTTGTCTGTTTTGTTTGTTTCTTTCTTTCTTTTTCGCCTTCTTGACCAGCACCGGCGTCGGCTGCAGCGTCATGATCTTGAGCCACTCAGAGCCACACGTAGTCTCGTCCGTGTCTGCACTCGTAACTCGAGTAGATAGAGGCGCAGCAGTCTGCGCTAGCCTCACACGTCGCGTGCCCTGTCGCCTGTTGCTGTTCCTGCTGTTGTTTGTGCCCTTGGCACCGTGGGTGCGGGGGGGCGACAGGGGCCGGGCGTGGCCCTGAGTAGCGTTAGTGCCGTACACTTACTCGAGTCACTCGGGATTGTGCGGCAGCCCAGCTGGCTGAGTGTCTTGTGTGAGTTTGTCCGCCAGGCCGCCGTCCACGGCCGAGGGTGCGCGACCGCTCCCTTGCGCACATCCTCGCCTCCGTCGGTGAAGACCTCCTCCATGACGCCCATGGATGCGAGCTTCTCCACCACCGGCTCCACAAACACTGACAAAACAAGCCGGGGGGATCGATCAACAGTCCATGTGGAAAGAAAGAATTTTACAACAAAACTCCCTCGCACGACACTGGGAAAGAAAGAAAACAGGCACCGTTTTTCTCTTGAGAAGAAAGAGAAAGCGGATAGAAAACAAGAACACAACGCACTCTCTCACATGACAAGCGATCCCACGACAGCCGATTGTGGGGACTCTACATGATCCGTACGTGAAGGGTGGAGGGGCCCGCCCGCAGAGCTAGGCGGCGTGGGCGCCCCCCAAGAAAGAAAACGACGGACACCAAACAAGGGGTGGGAGAAGGACAGGCCAGGGTCCCCACCTGCACGAGCAGGATTTGAGAAGGAGACGATCAGGGACACAGGGGAACGGGAGTGGGGAGCGCATCGCGACACGGAGGGGGGCTGGGCAGGGTTCACCCACACACGACAGGGTCCCAGGGATTCCCCTCTCGTATAGGACAAAGTTGCACCCGGCGGCACGGGGGCAGGCGCGGGCCTCCTACTGGTTGCGCTCTCCTAGTTCTCCTGCTTCCGACAAGGGACAGCGACAGGCTCGCAGCGCGGTGCGGTGGACTCCTTTTTCTCTTAATAAATAAATAGAGCAGAAGACATCTCCTGGAGAGATGGGCGACGCACGAACCCGAGGCACAGCGCGCACCCCGCCCCGCTCGCAGGGCGTGATGACTCCTTTTTCTCTTTTCTCTCTCTCTCACTGCGCGCGGTGCGGCGGATTCTTTTCTCTTACTACCATTCCGACGACGCCTTCTGTGAAGAGGACGGCATCTGTGAGGGACGACGGCTTCTATTAGAAGCCGTCGCCTTTGTAGTGCCAGTCCCG